TTCCTTCACTGTATCCACAGATGATACCCATGATTTAGCTGTTGACACCTAACGCAGTTTTATGTAGGAACTGAGAAAGCCCCCAATGTCCACACAGAAACTCAGAAGTTAACACAGCCTTGGCACGGTTAGACCCAATCGTTTCCTGCCACCTAGAGGACACCTAGTGACAAGCAAATGTCTTTGCATTCCTGGATCCCTGACAGCTACATATAGCAAGTTTCTGCATTGTATGCTTAATCCTACCCACCTAAACAAAAATAAATCTAATTGAAGAATAGCACGACTATTTTATTAGAGACTGCATGCACAACAGTTTAATTCTGGCATAATCCTACAGATATTTTTCTATAGCAAAGCTCAGTTAAAGCACAGAAAAAATACTGAGGTGAAACAATGCTTTTACCACATGCAGTCATGTCTTCTGACTTACTCAGCTAAAGGAAAAGCCTTTTTATTTTTCTGCATACCTCAACAGAACAAGATCTATGCTGCTATAAATAACAGTTTGACTATCAACAACCCAGACAGTTGGAAAGAGAGAACTGATCCCAGAAACAAGGGGAAAAAGTTGGAAAAAGCAGTTGTATCATACCAGTATTATTGAAATCTGGCTCAGTCTCAGAACTTGCTTTCCAATTTATTATTTATAAGAACTTATTACTTACAAGAAACAGCTACTGCCCACAGGTACCAGAACAAACTGCAAATGTACCTGGTTTAGCGCCTGCCTGGATAATCTGGAGGAAATAAACTGTGCCCAGATACCAGGAACCGTTGTGCAGCTTGTGTGCAACACACAGCTAGGGGACGCCTCAGGCCACCAGGGAAGATCCCAACAACCCCAGGAGAACGCATTTCTTGGAAACACAGGCTGCTTGAGGAGACACAGACAGCCCTACCTCAGGGACTATGCTGGGTAATGCTGTGTAAAAGAGAAACAAGAGAACAGGCAAGCAAGACCAGATTCAGTAAAACAGCGGAGTAAGGAAAATGCAGCTGATCTGGAAAAACCTATATATGACCACCTTTTTCTTTCCGTATCCTCATATACCTTTGTCATTAACAATTCATGTTAAAATAAATAAATAAATAAATAAATAAGGACAGACTCCAAACAATCCAAGGACGGAGAGCTGCAAGAAGCCACCAATACATAGAGACGTTTTATTTCCCAAGCCTGACCTCCTGTGGTGAGTTCAGGAAGCACGACGAGCTACACACTTGATACGAATTAACCAGAAACACATGAAGAGTGAAAAACCTAACATACACGCAGGAACCACTCAGTCTGAGTATTATGGACCTATGAAGCAAATTATAGTCAAAAAGGACAGAAAAAGGCTTTTGCCCACGAAATTTGAAAATTCTCTAACTATAGTACTCTGAAAACAAAGCATCCCAAATCTGAAATAAATTGAAGACAAAGAACATTCATGTAATCCTACAAAAATTCTGGACTAATAGAACTCCAATATTCATTGACTTGTATTTACAAAGTTGTCCCTTCACCTGGCCAATGCTTAGCTTTCCACTAATTTAAGAAACTAATGTCAACATTGTTTTTTGTTTAATGAAAAGGTTGTAGAACCTGATAGGAAAAAAGGAAACTCGCAGCATATTGTATAAGGAAGCTGAATATTAACAGAGCAGGATCTCTGCGGCAGATCTCTGAAAGTGTGTCCTTATGAAATAGTGCTAGGACTGAACAGGAAAATGGGAATTTAACTTTTAACCTCTGCTTTCACATTCTACAGAAACTACTGATCTGCTTCTAAATATTACACAGCTAGAAGTCATAAAACAGAACACTTTTTCCATCAGAAAGTATTTTTCCACTCCAAAAATGCCTCTAGGTGTTACAAAATTTGCACAAAAAAGACACAAGCTTGCATGTGGAATTTTGTTCTGAAAACTAGAAAAAGGATATCCTAATCACATTTTTCCACAATGGGATTTCACACTTCAGTACACAAAAAGCAGATCAACTGTTCAAAACTCCAGTATATGAAAATATAATAAAGATAATAACCTGCATATTTTCAAGCTACACTGTATGTAAACCGTAGGGTATGGAAGTGAAACAAACCTGTGTCACTCTCTCAACTATGAATGACCCACATTAACTTGCTAAATAGTGCAAAAGGAAAAAATGACTTTTTCTCATAATGAAAAAAAGGGATTCCTTAATAAATGGTTCTCGCTACCATTGAAGTAGTTAAGTCAGCTGGAAGGAAAAAAAAAAATCCAAGGAATGGTGTACTCCCTGCTCAATTAACCAGTTTATTTTTCCTAATAGTTATTTCTATAGTTTTAGATTGAAGAAAAGCCTTACTAACTACCATGAACAACCCAGGGAGGAGAACATCAAAATAATCAGTGTATACAGTTAACAAGAACAGCTGCCTTACACATGAAAACATCAGAGGGAAAGTCTTATGTTAAAACTTTAATTAATTTCAAATAAACAAAGCAAATTCAATAAGCAAAAGAGCTTAAAAGTCTGCAAGGACTATTTTCAAAAAGCTGATCCTTTTAACATCATCAAAGTATAAACAAAAATGCTCCAAGGAGCATGCTCATAGAAGCTGCTAAGCAAAGCAAAGCTGCTCACATAGTAAGTTATAATTTTTTAACATAGAGGGACTAATTTTACAAGATATATGTGCATCTTTGTGCACTACAACACAGTATATTGCATTTTAAGTAAAATGTAATATTTAGGAGAAAAACAGACATTTTTTCTCTAGAATGCTTTTAAAGTTTCCTTATATTAATATTTTCCACCAAGAAGCTGATTAAAAACAGTGTATTAAATGCAAAATAATTTCAAAATGTAAAACTATCTGTAATATGCTACCTACAGATTAACAAAAAAAATCACAGGTGGATGTGTGCAAAGACAGACGTTGTTTTCTAGAGCATCCTTTATAAAATTATTTTTAACAGACAGCTTTTTAGTTTACTAAGTTCTAAAAGTCATTAAAAATAACCCCCCTAAAAAGACACAAAACGAAAACCTACACCAAGCCTTTCTTTGAAAACAAGCAAAAAAATGCTAGTGGAGTGTTCTGAATAAAGAGATATCACAGATGAAAAACTGTTGCAGAAAACCAAGTAGCAAGCTACTGTCAAGACTGCTTATTTCTGTAAGGTACTTAGAGGTAGTGTTAAAGAATTAAAAGTTTATTTTTTGTTGTTGTTCTGATATTTTAAGGTCTACGACATGACCATTTCCTTCTAATTTGTATATAAGTATCACAGGGCACTGGATTTAGTCATCAAACTATTGGTGTAAAAGGAGTTTTACGCAAAAAGTTTTAAAAGGAAAGCCATATGTTCCTATAAGTTTTTGCAGTGCAAGGACAACCTATCCAAATAATACTTTGAATATACACACACACACGTATATGAATATTCAACACCACACATTAAATGGGGTAAAAGTCAACCTGAAATTAAATTACAAACCATAATTACCACCAAGAGTCTTAATTCAAGATATTATTTATTTTTTTTTCATTTTTAATTTACTTCCTAAAAACATAACAATTCGTATTTTCACACATTAGTACAACTGTTGAATAGGGAAGGCAAGAAGCTTTAATATCAAATTTTAAATTTGTCTTGCATTCCTTTTTAAAGTGCTGGTTTTCATTGGTTTAACAGTTTCTGATACATTGACTTGACACTCAAACTTTTCCCTAGATGTGACTTTTTCCAACCAGCATTTATAATACAAATTTCTTCAACCAGATTTAAAATGTATTCAAAGTCAAAAAAAGATTTATGACATCACATATACTGATTTTTAAATTTAATTAAGTTTTGTTCCAGTAAAAAATAGCATTCAAATGAAAATGCAAAACAAAACTTTAATAAAACTCAAATGTGTCCAATTTACCAAAATAAGATCTATCAAAAATAGTTTGTCATTTAAGAGGACTTGGATAATGAAGAATTGTCTCTTGACAATAAGTTAGCAAAATGTTTCTAGTGACCAGATTCTGAGTGCAGTTTAGACACACTAAAGTGCAGAATGGTGCTTTTGGAAAGCCAGCGAATCAGTTATATAGGTCAGACATATAATTGCTAGCAGGATCCCACTAACAGTTGGGTGCTCAGTATTGCTTACTTTATTTTTCTGACTCTCTTTGGTTTTAGTTTTTAGTGCCTAACCCTTTTGGTAACTTCATCTCTATTTTCAGAGGCCTAATTGTCTTTAGGGATCTAACTCCAAACCCTTCAAACTGACTAAAGAGTTAAGCCCAGTCTTCCCTACTTCTTTTTTAATTGCAAGCTCTCTACTTTCCTGGTTCCCAGTTAATCAATTTCAGGTGAGCAAATCTAAACAGAACATCAGCAAATTCCTCTGCTCCTGCAAATAAGATTAAAAACAGAACTAAGGCAAAATATTTGCTGTGCTACAGAATCTGAAAACACATTTGAAAAGATGTAAATGAGTATCAGGAATTTCAGTCTAAAAACTATAGACACATACAGTACCATGATATAGTTCTATTTATAATTCTGGCTTCCCTTTTGATTTTGCATTCATTTAAAAAATAACACTCTCGTTGAAATTTGATGAAGGCTTGTGTATGTACAGTATTAAAAACTTTAACAATTACAGCACAACTACACATAACACTGGCTGCCATGATTCCAAGTTTTGTTATCAAGAGATTTATTTTTTTAAGTTATTAAAGGTCTAAATGAATAACACAACATCTGATAAGATTTTTATCCACTGTACAAAGATGTGATTTCAGATAAAAGAAAGAATTAGAACCCAAAACTATGTACAAGGCAAAAGAGGAATGAATTTCTTTTAAGGCAGAAATCCAGTTTTGTATCACTTTAAAAGGCCCCTCAATACTAACTGTAAGTAGCTAACTCATTCAGGACCTAAAAACTTACACTCATAGCTTAATTACTGTGATGCCTAGAAGTCTATTGACTTTCCAGGTGGCCCAACTGCAGATATGGTCATCTTTAGAGATCAAAGCTATGCTAAAGTTCAACCTAGCTGCTACTCTATTAGACAATCCGCCCTCATTTTTGTTAGTAAGTTATATAAGCTTAGGAATGAGAAGGTATGAAACACGAAAAATGGCACAAGATATCTTAAAAAGTTATCACTGAAAAAGCCAGAGTCCATAATCAGAGGAATTTCAATGCTTAAAAACAGATTCACATATGTTCACCCAGTTGAAGATTAGTGTATTAAAAAAGGCTAAGAAAATACTTTGTGTTTCAGTTCAGCTGCACTTGATTCAAGCACAGCTTGGAGGTTGGTTGGTATAAATTAAACATGGTCACTGCCTCAGCAGACAGAAGTATAGGAAAATGTTCATGTTCACAGGATAAATACAAGTCTCTCCTTTCTGAAAAAAGCTATCTCACTCCAATTCGGGAGGTCATCCACTCCAAGCCTTGGCATAATCTGAAAGAAAATAAACGTGCTGTTGATACCAGTTCCGTTCCAGTATCTTAAGTGTTTGCTACTTATATTTAAAGCAATCTACTGAAAATAGAAACAGCTGAAATTCACAGTGAAACATGAATAAGCAGAGTTTTAAACTATCTACTTGGGCTTTAACCACAAGAAGTTGGTCAAGCATGCTATTTTGCTGAAGCTTAGCATTCTTTCAATTTTTTCTTCTAAAGTTAAAACATGCAACTCCACCCACTTACTCAGAAATACATGAAATCAAATTAATTTTGCTTTTAATACAGGTTTCCCATTAGAGACTGCTTACTTAAAAAATAGACATTTTCACAATAAAAGACAAATTTACACAGACTGAATTGGTCAAAGGAAAGGCATCAAACATCCTATAATCTCAATACAGAACTAAAAAAGATGCTATATTAAACACCAAGACTGCATGGGCTCTGATCTCCTTACTCGCCCAATTTGCATCTACATTTAAAGTTCTTATGTGTGAGAAGACAGACTTTCCTTCTGTTTTCTAGGGATGGAGTTTCCTAGTTTATCCAGTTTTTACCTAGTTCCATCCTTAAGCTTCAGTTTTGTAAAGTAAATCATGGCCTAGGTATTAATAAACAAGGCTAACATTGCCTCTCCAAGACTAATTTCCCCAGACTCCTGGGAGATCTTCCCAGAATTATATCCCTGACTTGATTCATCCTCTGGATTTTTTTTTTTTCTGATGAGCTTGTCTCACCCGCATCACAGTTTTAAGCTAATTTTTCACTGCTTTATCTTTTTTAAAAAATAAAGGCTAGGATGACCCAAGTCAATCTTCATGAATCTCTCCTCCCTCTGAAAGAAACTGAAAACAACTGAAACAAAAAAACAAACAAAAAACAAAAAACAAACAAACAAAAAAAATGAAGCTGAAATAATACTTCATACAAACTTGGAATTTGACCTGTTAAAGTAATCCATAAGTTTCAATAAAGAAAACGAAAAACTCAAAAGTGTCCCTCTGACCCCAAAGATGCTTTTCAGCAGATCCAAACTGCTGTTAAGCTTCTATTGCAGTGTTCTCATTTGCCATACATATTGCACTTAAACAGCAAACATTTACCCTTCTCCCGTCAAGGCGCAACAGGATTGAATGTGCCATGGGTGATCCTTTATGGAGCTAAGGGTGAGGTATGTAGATATTTCAGCAGCTGTCATGCAACCTTTCATGTCCTGTTTGTTTGCAAAGATGAGAACTGCAGCCTTCCGTAAATCCTAAAAGTAATTTATAACAGTTATTACAAAGAGGTAAAAGGATATTGTGTTAACTGTGGTCCTCAAAGGAACAACGTCCAATTTGTTCTACAACTACATGATAGCATGTAGTTTTTACAGACTTACTACATCTAAAAAAAAAAAAAACTCTAAGATTGAAAAAAGTGATTTATTTAGTAGTGTTCTCCATGCAGAGCATCAAAATATAGTATTCTATACAACAGTCCTTTTGGTGTTGCCTATATGTTTTATATATATAAGTCTTGCTAAAATATATTTTATAGAACTCTACCCCATGCAGACAGAGGAATTACTATGAGATAGCATCCAACTAGGCTTTGGAATGTTTATCTAAATTGAAAAGTTTGTTAGATTTCATTCCCTTGAAGGCATTTTCAACCTCAGTAAGCAAGTTCTTTAGTGATTAAAACAGTAACAATTTAAGAAAACTAGCTAAGTACTTGTAAGTTTTATACTACTACTAAGTAGTTTTGCTTCTGTATGAGAATCAGGATTCCAAAAAGCAGCTAGACAAAAAGCAGCTAGAGTGCAGAAGGAAAGACAAATGAAACAGTCAGGAAGCTGGCAGGTCTAATTAAAGAGTGCTCAAGAGATTAAAATCTGTATTAAATTTTGAGACAATTTGTCCATCAAGAGAACAACAAGTCCTTTTAGTCCAAAGTTGAAAATTCATTCTCACAAGTAGTCTTTACTAGAGTCAAGTCTCACTTCGAGTTGTCCTAGTGATTGTTTTCAGGACATGATTGATCACAATCTCGTAAGTGATTGCAACACTGGAAGCTTACATAATTACATTGGAAAAAATGCACCATAAAGTCATCTTTCCCCCTTTTTGATACAGTATTTGCTCCTTACTACCAGCCCCAAATTAGATTAGTATTGAACTGTGAAGAAAAACTCATTTGAAACAGACTGCAAAACACTCAGAGAAATGAACTCAGAATTATTTGTACTGTACTAAACCCCTTTCCATTAAGAAAGAATAAAAGATGTTTAGGATAAAGGATAAAGATGTAAAAGAAAACAAATTCATCTTGAAGGTAACCACAGATTTTAACATATATTACTAACCCAATTTAGATATTAGTTTAGGATGTTAGGAGGAGTTGACCCAATATAGAACTATCTTCAATACAAAATATAATAAAAAAATAAATAATTCAGAAAGAAACTAAACTGAAACTAATTTAACTTTATGAGTATGTGCTTCTTAAAATTAACAAACAGGATTAAAAGTTAATAAAGAATAAATTGCCTGCTTTTTAAAAAATCTGAAATTTCTTTCAATTTTAACCATTAAAGTGAAGAAGAGTGAAGAGCAACAACAATGGTTGCGTTAACTTGAAGTAATTTGAATTAAAATATTTTGTAATTTCAATACTGATAGAGTGATTTGTTACAGTCCAGCAAGCCCTGTTAAAGGAATGTAAAGGGATGTGTATTCTTTATTACAGATTGCCTGCTTATTTATAGATTACATTGCTTTGATATGAGCCCAACATGCATGCATTTTCAGTCTCAATTTTTTTGTGTGTGTGATGGTAGAATTTTTGTTAACACAGGGACCATGTAGTCTTATTTAACTGTTCACAACAAAAGAAATTTGTTATCCCAGTTTTCTACTATACCTCATGAGCCAGCATTCTGTAAAGTTCTTCTTTTGTAATAGAAAGTCGCTCTCTGTCAATGCTGTCAACAACAAGAATGATGAACTAGGGGAAAAAAGTACAGTATGTAAATAAAGTTAATATTATAAAAGAGATACAAAGTAAAAAAATCGCAGAAAGCATATTTTCAAGAGACCACTACTGCAAGTCTTCCTATATAAGTAAGTTATAGACTCAGTAGTAAACAATAGGTTTATTGCTACAGTCACATATTTACAACACTGGGAATCATACACAAAGATTATATGTAGATTTTTTTTAAAAAAGGGCATATATAGATTTCAGAACTGTAATTAAGATACTCTATTTATGTGCTATGGTTAAATATATCTATCTGTCAATTGGATTTTCTGTCCCTAAATCATAAGCAAAATATTCATGTAAGTACCTAAATGCCTAGAGAGTGCATCACACTCAGAATGTGGGTGATAGAAACTTGCTATACCCAGTTATCAGCGAAAATGATCGTTACTGTCCCCTACTTGTACACTCACAAAATACTAGACTGAAAATACACACACACAAACCTTAACCACACAGTCTTCAGCACCCG